TATATATATATATATATATATATATATATAGTGATGCTAAAGAATTAAAAGAGAGTACTTTTGGTATAAAAAAAATTATTTTGAATATAAAGAATCATATAAATAAAATTAAAAGAAATAAGTAATTTTTCAAAGCATGAAAAATGTTATATTTATATTATAAATATGAAACTATAAAACTGAAAGAATTATTCTCTAAAAACGCCGGCAGTTCAGGTTGTATGACTTATGATTTATATTTTAATTTTCTAGTCTTATCTTTTGACATAGATATAGATATTCACACAAGAATATCAATATTTTTATCTTTTTTTTCGAGATTTTATTTTTATCAGTTTTTAAAAATAATAAGTAGATAAAAACAGAAAAAATTGTACTGTTTGTACTTACATCTTATTTTCATATAAAAGATTAGATTAGAGATTATTTCTACATAGTATATTATGTTGTGTAGTTCGTTAGATTATATTGTGTTTTGTGATCGTGATTTTGCTAAAATAATTATAGAGATTTAAAATGCTACATTTAAGAAAATTCGATAAATTTATCGAACAAAATACAAGCCGATTTTATTTTTTTCTTTGTAATGTATAGATTAAATATTCTCCAAATGCGCATTCAACAAAATATCTCTCGATATTCAACACAATAGTATAGCAAAAAATTAAAAATTTATAAATTATTGGCAAAAAGTTAAATATGCAATAATATTACGTTGTCGAATTATTAATTGAATACTAAATGTAATGAAAAATATAATCACAAAACGATGAACATTTTTTACGCTTTCTCGCGTTGTACTGAATGGTGCATTTTCCGCATTTTCCGAATGATATTTGACTACACATCGTCATTGGAGATGCATGAAAATACGTTAATTGACCAGAACGAGCTTCCTCTTCAAGCTGGGTGATGCGTTATATCCTCATTTATTAACGCTTTCATTTGCAAAGCCTAAAACGCAACCCCTGAAATTCAACAAGTGCTCCTCGAACCTGGAGCGAGAGAGTGAACGAACGAGCGAGCGAACCAGCCAACATCCAACCTCTATTACGTGCGTGACGCGACTGATCCCTCAGGTGGTGCGGGGTGCGGGGATAGTCGGTGTTAGGAAGGGAGGATCGGGAGGACTCTGAATAACCGGTGGGGATGGTGAGAGATTGTAGCCTCGGGTTACTTCGCTTGTCGTCGGGCGCTTTCGTGATTCTGGTTTCTCCCGCGACCGTCTAAGCGGTGTCAGCGTGTGCGCAGACCGGCTGCGCAGAAGGCGTGTGCGTTGTCCAGATTCTTTGTGCCATTCCTGGCATACCAAAAACAAGAGTGGTGACCGTCCTCGTATTTACCGAGGTGCAGTCCTGCGCGCTAATATAACACCGTGTGAATTTCGTTCGTGAAAATAAGGACGCCCTTACGCTCGTGCGCGTATCGCCACGTCACATAGCTCGCCCAGTGGTAAGTACACGATACAAAATAGTGCTGAAACTGCCGTTCGTCAAAGAGCGCGTCCACGCCCGAGTGTTCTGACGGTGGCGTCGTCTCACAACGGGCCCGCGCAAGGAACGAGTCCGACCGCAGCGACGACGGCGATATTACCCGCAGACAGAGAGAGAGTCACAGACGGAAGGACAGACGGACGACGAATGAAAGAGAGCGAGACAGAGGGAGTGAGAAACATCGTATGTGTGAAAGAGAAAGATTGATAGTAGCGTGTGTATTCTGCGTGAGAGTGGCTTAGCGAGCGAGCGGGCAAGTGAGCGAATGAATGCGCGACGCCGTTATTATCCATTCCGCGACCAATACTCTCGCGCGTTCGGTTTGCTTGTCACATTTATACAGTACTTCCGCTGGCCGTTGTCGGTCAGTCGTATTTTACGGAGCTTATTTTGCTCCGAAACAGTAAAAGGAAATAACGGACGGATAAAGAAACCTTTTTCGTGACTCATCGGTGAGAAGGGTGAAAAGGAGTGAGAAGGAAAAAGGAGAAAAAAATTCAGTCACCGGCACGAAGTTGGCTCGGAAAGGAGCCTCGTACCGGTGTGTACATCTTAGTAGAGGGCTGTTTACATCGAACATCCGGTATTCCGCGCGTATTCCGAATCATTAGCTCGTGTTTACGAGTGTGTGTCGCCGTGTCAGCTGTGTGTCAGAAGCGTGTACGAGCACCTCTGCTTCGAATCGCGCGCACGGGAACCGATTCGCAGAAACACGGCGCAGCGCAGTGCAATTCAGCGCGACGCGGCTCACCGTGGAGGTTAGGGTGACTCCTCTCGCGGTCGTCGTTGATCGGTGGTGTGCGGTGGTGTGGGCTGCGTGCGCGTTTCCTCGCTGCCGGCGCGCGAGCGGGGCGCCGTGACAGAAACGCGTGCTGCTCTCCGCCTAGTCGCCTGTCCGCCAGCCCGCTCGCTCGTGTCGTCGCTCGCGCTCTCGCTTACTCGTTCGTTCGCTCGCGTCGTCGCTCGCCCGCTTCTGGTGAATTCGTATGGTGAATTATTGATCCGCGGCGGCGTGTGCGTGCGGAAAAACCGCCGTTGGCTGGAAGAGAGGAAGGTAGGAGGTAGGGGCAGAGGAAGAGAGATAGACGGATAGGGAGTTAGAGAGAAGAGGTGGGGAAAGACAGAGACGGATAGGGGGCCGCGGAGTGGCGCGCGCGGTGGCGCGAGAAAGCGCTTAAAGCGAGCACACGCACGGGGTGAGACGTGCGCTGGTTGGTGTGGTTGTATATTGTTTTGAAAAGTGTCGGCGCGCGCGAATGCACGCGACGCATCGCTGTGCTCGTCGCGACGCGTAAAGTTGGAGAAACCGGGTACCGGCGGAATTATCTCTAATCTAGACGAGGGAGCGAGCCAAGTGTACATCTCTGTGTCTGCCGTCATCCGTCCGTTCGTCCGTGCGTATATACGTAACGGTAACGGGTACATCACTCCGTCACGCGTGGTGTGTTCTTTTCTTTCTTTGCTTCACTTTCCGTCCGTGTCTGACTCTTCCGCCGC